TGAAAAGTAGAGCATATTTTATGGAAAGAGAAGCTTTTTGGTTCTGTCTAAACAAAATTTCTGCATGAGTTCTTTGTGGTAGTAAATAATCTGTGTGTCTTGGACACTTAGGTGTGGTTGGCAGTTCTCTAGTAATTTAGCAGTAATAGCTCTTAAGGGATGAATGCTGAGATACTCAGTTTCTTAAATTTGTTTGTTTCTCTAAAATATAGCTTTATACTTATATCCCCTTTTCAATCATACATAAAAATATTTTCTATTTAGAAACAGATGTCCTGTTTATTTTCAAAGGGATTTTATTTTATCGATGTATAACATATATACCAAAATTTTCACAAATTATAGATGTACAGCTGGACAAATGATCACAAAGTAAATGCCTGCAGGTAAGCACTATTCAGATCAAGAATTAGAGGGTCTGGCCCCACGGCCTAGTGATTACAGTTCTGTTCTTGGGCACAGACCTCCACCACCTGTCAGTGGCCATGCTGTGCCAGCCCACGTGCAAAATAGAGGACGATTGACACAGGTGTTAGCTCAGGGCGAATCTTCCTCAGCAGAAAAAAAAAAAGAAAAGAAAAGAATTAGAATATTACCAAGGTCCAATTTTTGTACCTTCCTTTCTCTACAAAGAAAACCACTGGACTTTTAACATCATACATTTGTTTTGCCTGTTTTTTTGCTTCATATAAATGAAGTCTTACAGTACGTACTCTTTTGTATCTGGCATTTTTCATACAAAATCTGATTATAAAATTCATCCGTGTTGCTGTGTATAGCAGTAGTTTATTGATTTTTATTGCTGTATGGTGTTCCATTGTAGAAATATAATACAAATTATTCATCCATTCTGCTATTTGATGGAAATATCAGCTATTTCCAGTTTGGGGTTATTTTGAATTATGCTGCTACGCACATTCTTCTACATGACTTCTCATACATGTTTCTGTGGGGTATGTACCAAAGAGTGGAATTGCTTGGTTATAGGGTTTGGGTAGTTCAGCTTTACTAGACACTCCCAAACCATTTTCTAAAGCATTGGACTAACTTATACTCTCACCATAAATGCTTTGGGGGAAAATTGGGCTCACCTCTCCATACTTTCCTTCTCTCTTGGATATTTGTCCCTCAAACCCTCACTGCTTTGGAACTTCTCCTGTCTCTTCAATCAAATCTGTAAAAAAATACTTTGTCTAGCCTTTTTGGTTCTCCTCCACCCCAGGAGGTCTTTCTTCAGCAGTCTAATCCACTACTACTAAAAACAGAAAGCCACTACTGATGCCCTCTGAACCTCAGAAACAGTAAAAGCTAGCTTGTATTTTATTCTCCTGAAAAAAGAAATGAATGACTGAAAATTAGACAGGCAAATGAGTATAAACAGAAAGATAAGAGAGAATAGCATACATAAAGAAAGAAGCATAGTGTATGAGGGGAATCATCAGTAATTTAGTGTTGTTGGTTCATAAATTGTGAGATGGTAGTAGGAAAATTATAGAAGTCCTGTTATAAAAAGACTATAATGCCATAGTAAAGAGCTTGGATTTTTATCTGAAAGCCACGGGGAATCATTGATCATCTTGGTGCAGGAAATAATAGGATCAGATTTTAATTTTCCAAAATTCATGTTGAAAGCAGTATGGGAATGTATTTGAGGGGCCAAGACTAAATTCTAGAAAATTAGTCTCATAAAACGGTGCAAAAGAAAGGATGGGACTGAAATTAGAGAAAAGGAAACAGATTCAAGATATGCTTGGATGGTTAAATCTGTAAGGAGAATGAAGAAGAGGAAAAAGTAAAAAGTAACTGCCTGATTTTTTGCTTGGGTGACCAGGTGGGTGATGATGTCAATAGCTGACACACGGAATACAGCAGGAGGAGGTCTCTTGGGTAGGGAAAGAGGGGGCAAAGATGAACTCACTCTGGACAATGTTGATTTCCAGATGCCTTTGGAAAATATACAGGCACGTGCATGAGTATGGAGCCTGAAGATATCATTAAAGGCCGGAGATGAGTAAGAGTTATAAGTCTGCAATAGGCAGTTGTAAAAGCCACAAGATCAGTTAGATGACTAGATGAGATAATTCATGTGGAGTGAGAAGGGACATGGGCTGAAGACAGAGCAGCAATATACGGACAAGCAGAGGAACAGGGATAATAAAGGAGATCAAGGAAGCATTATCAGGAAGTCAGAAGAGAACGAGAGCAGAGAAATGTAATCAAATGTGTGGGGCACATAGTTTAAGGAGGGAGAGATGATCAGTGTTCAAGTTGGGGAGAGGATTTCAAGGTAACAAATGTGTTCGTTATATTTGCCTGTTAGAACCTCATGACTTCAGCTGAATAGAAGAGAAAGAAAGCAGGTCATAGTGATCTGAGACAAGAATATACCTTATTCTTGAGATGTCTAGATGAGAAGGAAAAGAGAAAAATTGTAGGGCTCAAGAGGACGGAAGGGTCAAAGGACATTTTTTAAATTATGGGGGATGTTTAATGCTCATGGACTGGAGAGATAGTACTGCAGAGAGGAAGGAGGAACTGGGCTGATCTCGAGAAGTCAGAAGAGGGTTAATAGCCTGAGAAAACCTGAAGCTGTACTTAGAGATTTCAGTTCGCATGCTCCACTTTGGTGGCCTGGGGTTTCATGGGTTTGGATCCTGGGTGCAGACCTAGTACCACTCATCAAGCCATGCTCAGGCAGCATCCCATACAGCAGAGCTAGAAGGACCTACAACTAGAATGTACAACTGTGTACTGGGGGCTTTGGGGAGAAGAAGAAGAAGGAGGAGGGGGAGGAGGAGGAGGGGAAGAGGAGGGGAGGAGGAGGGGGGAGGAGGAGGAGGAGGAGGGGAAGAGGAGGGGAGGAGGAGGGGGAGGGGGAAGAGGACGAGGAGGGGAGGAGGGGAAAGAGGAGGAGGGAGAGGAGGGGGGAGGAGGAGGAGGAGGAGGAGGTGGAGGTGGAGGGGAAGAGGAGGAGGAGGAGGAGGAGGAGGGGGAGGAGGAGGAGGAGGAGGAGGGGGAGGAGGAGGAGGAGGTGGAGGGGAGGAGGGGAGAAGGAAGAGGGGGAGGAGGAGGAGGTGGAGGAGGAGGAGGGGGAGGAGGAGGAGGAGGAGGAGGGGAGGAGGGGGAGGAGGAGGAGGGGAGAGGAGGAGGAGGTGGAGGAGGAGGAGGGAGGAGGAGGAGGAGGAGGAGGAGGGGGGGAGGAGAAGGAGGAGGAGGAGGGGGGGGAGGAGGAGGAGGAGGAGGAGGGGGAGGAGGAGGAGGAGGTGGAGGGGAGGAAGAGGAGGAGGAGGGGAGCAAGAGGAGGAGGAGGAGGAGGGGGAGGAGGAGGAGGTGGGAGGAGGAGGGGGGAGGAGGAGGAGGAGGAGGAGGAGGAGGGGGAGGAGGAGGAGGTGGAGGAGAGGAAGAGGAGGAGGAGGGGGAGCAGAGAGGAGGAGGAGGAGGGGGGAGGAGGAGGAGGTGGAGGAGGAGGAGGGGGAGGAGGAGGAGGTGGAGGAGGAGGAGGGGGGAGGAGGTGGAGGAGGAGGAGGGGGAGGAGGAGGGGCAGGGGAAGAAGAAAAGATTGGCAATAGATGTTAGCTCAGGGCCAATCTTTTAAAAAAAAAAGATTTTTCTGTAAAGATTTAAGAAAATCAAAGTGAGAAAAGTCCTCAAAATATGAAATCAGATCATTGAGTATTATTCTTTTTGTACATTTATTATTTAAATGAAAAACTTTTATTTGAAAACCAAGAATTTGTACTATTTGTGTGGGGCTGTTTGATTTTTTCTAAGTCAATAAAGGAGCAATCTTCTGAAGGGAAAATAGTTTCCTACATATCTACGTCACGTAATTCATCAGGAAGCGCTCTCCTGAGAAGACTGTGCTGGGGCCTTTAATCCTCTATCATTTTCTTTCTCTGAATAGTGTTTGTGATATTATTCGGAGCCTAATTTGCTTGATTCAGTACTATCTTTGATAATTCCAAAAATAACTGATTGATTCTGGCAAAAATTTGACCAAGGAAAAGATTTGGCAGAGAGAAACGTTCTATTTCATGAATTAGTGCCTTGGCCCACTCGGTCATTTTCCTCCCCTTTGCTAGATTGTCCCTTTTGGTCTAGCTCAGAAGCTAGAAAATGAAAAATGAAAAATGACAAACTATCCATTGTAACTGAGTGATGGAAAAAAGCAAGATGCTTTAGAAAAGTCACAGAATATTATGAAGTCATGCAGAATCCTGAGGACTCCTTCCCTTTGCTCTTTCCTCTTTCCTCCTTCATGCACTGGGTGGAACTGGGGCAGACTATCCACTTTAGTGCTGAGTGGGGTGCTAAGAAAACTATGCTAAGTCAGAAGCAGTCAGCTACGGTGCAAGCTGATCCAATCTTTGCTGTTCTGAGATGGACAATGTGATTCCTCCATGATTCCCGTATCCAGGGTGGCAAATAGGCTTCGTTTTGGCTGCAACTCTGATCGGTTGTTCCCAGCTGCTTGGGGCATTGTAATGAATGGGCTGGAGGCAGGAGAAGTGTTGTGATGGTGATAATGTCTGCCACGGGCAGGTGGGGTAATCGTGACCTGGAAACTGAAAAGTAAAAATGACAAAGCCTCTTCCATTGAGGATGCCACGTAGTGGAAATCCTCTCGTTGGACCAGCACCAGCACATCAGCAACACTGCCGGAGAGGTCTGGGCGTCAGGGGTTCAAGTAGGGAGCTTAGAGCGTAGGAGAGCACGTGGAAAATTCCCTGGATCTGGGCTCCAGCCTCATTGCCGCTGCTTTCCAGCTGTGTGACCTGGGGTAATTCATTTATTCTTCATCAGCAGTAAAGAACGAGGCAATAATAATTTTCCTGTCTTCTGTATCAAAAAGTGGTTAAAAGGATTAGTTTATTCTGTATTTAGATGAGACATGACTTTGTAAACTCTCAGGCACTATTCCACTTTTTAAAAATTGGTTAGTATTGACATAGTTATGATGTGCACGAATAGCATTGATTTCCTTTTACATTAAATTCTAGTGATCTGAGGTAATACAGCAAGTACTGCGAGAGTACAGACGAGAGAGAGCCCATTTCCTGCTGGAGAGACTGAGGAAGGCCTCGTGGAGAGAGCAGTGTTCCAGCTGGGCCTCGAAGGTGAGATAGGAATTTGGTAGTTGGGGATAAAAAGGCTCTTCTGCGGGGAGAAAACTGGGGGAGCCAGGGCCTAAAGTGAAGAAAATAAAAGATATTAAAATAATAAATAAACCTTGAAGTTTACACGGTGCTTGTGATCTGCAGTGCACTGTCACGGATTGAAAATAACAGTTAATGCAGTTTGGCTGTAGCGTAGGGTGTGCCATTGGGGCTGGAGAGAGGGAAGGTTGGGGATCCAGGTTACCGTCCTATTACAGAGGAATTTGAAAGCTTTCTTAAGAAATTTGCATAGAAATGAACATTCCAGGTAGATAAAAAGTGGAATGAATAGGCATTCCAATTCTCAGTTGTCCCAGTGGAACATGTGGTGTGTTTTTTTGCCTGTCAAAAGGTTGTGTGTTTCATAGATTTTATTTCTTTCTCTTTCTAGGGCACTTTGTTACAACTCTACACTTCGCAAGCTTTAATGATGCCTTTTGTACCTAACTCTTCTTCTCTGGTCCTTAGTGCCTTACCTGGTAATGGTACTTCTCCTCTGGGCAGGATGCTTCCAGTCTGCCCCCCCAGGCAGGCGATACCGAGCCGCCAGAGTCACCTTGCTGCTCTGACCTTACCGCCTCCCTGTTCAGAATCCTGCAGTGACTCTCCACTGCTTTCTTGATAAGGTCCGGACTTCTTATTTCTGGCATTCAACTTACCTGGCCGCGAATCACCTTTCAGTCCTATCTCCTGTTATTCTGACATCTGTCCTATATTTCAAACATTTTCTCTCTCTCTTCTCAAAACACGTTCATGCCGCATTGGGCCTGCCCTCACATTCCCTTCCCATGCATCCAAGTTGTACCCGTCATTCACGAGTGAACTCCAAGGCCAGTTCCCATATGAACTCCAGGGCCAGTTTTCGCTGGCCCTCACATCTGTAAGTGATCACGCCTGCTTTTAAATCATCATCGCTAACACGTAAAGCTTGCTATGTGCTAGGCACTCTCCTCAACGTTTTACATAAATTAATGCATTTCATCCTTGCAACAGCTCCTATAAGGCAAGTATAATTATTGCTCCTATTTTACAGATGAGAAAACTGAGGCATCTCCTTATCTTCCCCAAGGCCACAGAGCAAATGACTGGCACAGTTGTTATTTGAACCTGGGTATTCTGACATCAGTAATCGGCTGTTAACTGCTATGTCATTGCCTCTTGTGCAGTTTCATAGTACTTGGCGTCTTCCGATGACACTTAGTATTTTTAATTTGATTGCTTGTACGTTTACCCTCCTTGTCTGCTCTGCCTGATCCCAGGCCTTTAACCCTGGTGAACCCACTAACGTAATTGGAAATACATCCATTAAAAAAGGATTCTGGGTATCCTGTTTCTGATAATGGCCAAAGTCCTTTTAAAATTGTCCTAGTCTAGCCTTGGGCCTTAATTTTTGCTCCATTACTGCATTTACTTCTGTCTTCATTTCATGTTTTGGCGTTTGTACTTGCTTCTTGTAGCTGATGACAAATTTAACTTCTCGTATTTTTTTCTTTCTTTCTTTTCCTTGCACATGTTTTTGCACATGTTTCTGTCCTCCTTGAGTTGCTACTATGTTTGGCTTTCAGCCCTCAGATCCTAGGCTGACATGGGCCAACGTGGCTGGCCTTCATCCCCCAGCTTTTCTTGGGGGAAAGAGTCAGAAACTGCTAGGTTATAAGTGCCTAAAGGCAGGTATTGTGTCAGCCTTGTATCCCACCAAATACCTATAGGAACTCAATAATCTTTTACTGAATAAAAGGATGAGCAAATGAAAGGGGCCATCATCAGCCCAGTCGTCCTTGACTGCCGGTTGTGCCTTCTCTGATGACTTCTCCTCCTAGCCTGTTTCTCATCTCCTTTATGCTGCATCCAGATTCAGCCTCGGCTCTCCGAACCTCAGGGATCCTGCTGTGACAGAGCTGAGTTAAAACAGCAGGTGCTTATTGAGTGCCACTGCAGGAGGGCACAGAGGGTATATAACGTAAGATGCACATACTGACTTTAACATGATTTCACCATTATTGTCTCATTAGGACTCAAATATATCAAAAGTCATTATATTAAAAATGCTAAGTTAACAGTTTCAGACAAAAGCAGTTGTTACAAGGAGGCACGTGATCAACCAACAATTAACAGGACAGGTAATAATTTTGGGGAAGAAGGTGGGGTCACTTCAGGCAGGGATGGCTAACAAAGGATTTCAGAAGAATGTAGTTTTCTTAAATTTATGTTTTAATTGTGGTAAAAAGTAACACAATTTTGCCATCTGAACCATTTTTAAGTGGACAGTCAGTAGTGTTAAGTATATTCGTATTATTGTGTAACACATCTCTGGGACTTTCTTGTCTTGCAAAACAGAAGCTCTCTACCTATGAAACAACAACTCCCATTTCCCCCTCTTCCCAGCCCTGGTAACCACCATTCTGTTCTGTTTCTGTGAATTTGACTGCTTTACATTCCTTACACAAGTGGGGTCGTATGGTATGTCTTGTTTAGAAGAATGTAGATTTTGAACTATGTCTTTAAAGATGGGTGGGACTAAACAGACAGATGAGATGGGCTACACTACATAGGTAAATGGGTTAGTATAGTGTGAAGGGGATGTTTCCTTAACATGAACCGAGATAGATGGAAGCTGAGACATCATGTTTGTTATTTCTTTTCCTTGGGGCAATTTCCTCTTAGGTTTCGGCTGTTTCGGCTGCTGTTCTCTGTGTATGTCCATATCTGAATTTACCTGCAGTTCTCAACTCAGATTGCGTCTTAGGGCATCACATATACAAGACTCGTCAGTGTAAATTGTGGTCCAGAAGACAAAGAAGCACCCAGCTGTGGTCCAAAAGCATGGACACTTGGGTTTATTTATTTTTACTTTAACGGTGACAGAATGGAACATTTTGACTTGGTTTTGAAACAAAGATTTTTTCTTTAAAGAACCAAAGCCTTATGATGGGAAATCTACATACAGGGTTATGTGATAATGAACGCAGGCACATGTATAACAGATTTCAACACATATTTTACTGTTGCGTTGCTCTTTTAGTCAATAATTCAATGTTATTAGGAATTGGTAAATATTTTTTACGTATGGTTTGCAAGAGACAAGGCTCTGACACAGTTCTGGTTTTTTTCAGTGCAGTATCTTCTTGAATTTTGTGGTTAATCTTACCGGACAGGTCATGTGACTCTCACATTTGGGCAGGAACAGACCTCACATGAGGGGTCACCACAAGTTCGTATGGCACCTTAGTGTGAATTGGGAAAAGGGGCCTCTTTCTACAGACACGTAACTTCTATTTGATGGAATATTGTCTGGATAGACCAAAATGCTTTGCTGTCATCCACTAGAACATTGTAGTAATAACTTGGTCACCTATACGAATGATGGCCTCTAGAGTTATGCAGTACACATCCTGCATAACTGTATGAATGATGGCCTCTAGGGTTATGCAGTACACAGCCTGCACAACTGTGCTTCAAAAGGACAATGGTAATGAACAGAAAATGGAGCAGCCCCCCCGGGTCTCTCTCTGTAAAGGCATAGTTGTTAACAGGAGTAGGTTTGTGTCCTGTAGATATGTCAGAGGGCAAAAACAAGATGGAAACCCAGAACTCAGGTCTCAATATTATGAGATAGGCAGAAAATGAGAGATATGTATGATCCCCAAATGGAGAACTGGGAGGTTGGGGTTGCCAAGAGCCAGAATTTAGGTGGACAAATGGAATGCATGTCTGTAGAAATTTTGGATAAGGAATCTAAGTATTTGAAGCAGCTTTTTATGGGATTATAACGCCACTTTGCACAGGGATGTGTAGCTAATTTAAAGGAGCAAGAATGGCGCAAGTATCAGTTCTGTTCTCAGCAGTAATAGTAATAGCTGGCGTTTATGAGGTGCTCCAGAGTATAAGACATTCTGAGTACATGGTATCTCATTTTGATATTTTCAAGTACCTTTCAAGGCAAGAGAAGTGTTATTTATGCCAATTTTATAAATAAAGATTAAAAAATTTCCATGACTTGCTTAAGGTCATATGTATGATGAAGCTAAATTTTTAAATCAAATTCTTCTGAGTCCATGATTTTTTAAAATACATCATGATTTTTTTTTTTTCTGAAAAAGTTCCACCACAATGTGCTGATGAAACCGCTCCCTAGACTTCCACTGTGAGTCATCAAATTTATTTCCCTTTATTTCTGGGCACAAAATACAGACTCCGTTCCTAGCCAGATTACTAAATGGGAGAAACTGATGTTGGCCGCTGCCAGGCCTGACCCATAATGCAATGCTCTTCTCCCTCTCTCCTACTGTCTTGATGTCAACAACCATGGCAGCCTTAGTAACCACATATTGAAGATGGCATAGCCTCCATCACCTTGAGTCTGTGAATAACTACATGGAAAAGAGCCCTTCCTCTTCCAAGACATAAACTTCTGTTGAGTTTACTGAGCAAGAAATAAACTTCTATTAAGTTAAGCCACTGAGCTTTTGGGTTTTATCTCTTTCTTACAGCAGCTAGTGTTACCTTAATAATGTGCTCTTTTCACATTATTTATATTTAGCCTCTATTGTGTGAGCATTTCTCTCTTAGTTGCTTACCTGTGGCTGAAGTTATTTAGTGTAAGGCGTGCACTTTTTCCTTCAAGACTGCTTTTACACCGTAACTTCCACTTCCTCTTCAGTCCCTCTGCTCCTTTGAAGCACGTGGACTTTGGACTCCTCCTCCCTTTCTTTTCTTTTCACAATTATCTATTTCCCCCTCCATTCCTTCCCCTATGCATTAAGGATTTTAGCCATTAGTTTACTAAATTTCTCTCTGTCACTATTTCTATCTATTCTTTGATCACTTCTCGTCTCTCAAGTTCACTTACTCTCGGGTAAGTGAGTAAGTAGAGAATTACTCTACCCCAGTAATTCTTGGACACCATTAGGAACCCCAGGCCATTGACCTTATTACTTTCTCACTGGCCAACATCCATCTTC